GCTCCCGGGGCCGCTGTGGGGGCGCGCTCCCGGCCGGCCGCGCGCTCCCTCAGCCTCGGCTGTGCCCCAGCTCCGGCCGGGCCTCTCCGGGCGCTGCCAGCGCGGGCGCTTGGTGTGCACGCCTGCAGTGAGTGCACGCCTGCAGTGAGTGCTCCTTCGTGGGGGAGAGGATCACCAGTGTTTATTTCAGTAGATCAGATTGCCGCCCTTGTTTCCGCGGCGCTTTTTTGCGTTCATGTGTGTTGCTCAAAGCCTTGACTCTTCTGCTTGCAGCAGGGTTGTTTTTAAATCAGACTGCAGGGCTTGTCAGAGCACTCTATGGGGATTGCAAAATTCTCTTCCTGTAAGGCAGTTTAGTTGTAAATTTTTTTCCTAAGACAGTATAAATGCTTATAAAGGTTTCCTACCTGATGTCTGTTTTGATAGCCTAATTTTGATCTTTGTACTTCCTTCTGTTCCCTGACCCTCTACCAATACTTTTTTATTCCATTGAAAAAGGGTGAGTGCAGTTGTAAACACAAATGTTAAAACATTCTTAAATAAAAATATTAGAAAGTCAGATGAAAATCAGGTGTTTTGGGGGTTCCTTTCCAGATTAGACATACCTTGATATAGTGAAAATGAATCCTACTAAACAAGGCTTTCAGCACTAGCAACCCACAACATTTGAGGAGACTCAAGCAGAGAAAGCTCTGCTCAGTTCCAGAGAAAAATTAGTTCCAAAGAGGACTTCAGTGCTAATGATTATAAATATATTGCTTGGATATCTGCATTTTGCAAGAATATCGTATATAGGGTGAACTAGAAGGCATTTGTTTGGATTCAGTTGATGAGGGCCATTCTTTGGATTCAGAAATACTTTTGACAGAATGGGATTTAGAAGCTCTGAAACACATAGAAATTTACTTAAATTTACTAGAAATTTACTTAATTCCTGAAAATACACAGTTTTTGTAAAAAAAACCAACACATGCACAGAATATGGTAGTCAATTAAAAAAATAGGTGAAATTTTGTTTTGCATTTCTGTGCAGCAATACTAATTCCAGCTCATGATCAAGGGCTGCTTCAACCTGCCTTGTCTCTTGCAGTTTTGTCTCTGAACATGCAGCTGGAGAGCCCTGCAAAATGTAATCATGTCATTTGGATCAAATCATGAAGCTTTCAAAAATAAAGGAAAATACGTTGCTCTTTCCTCTTCCCCACCAGCACTACAACACTGAATTAACACATAAATGATCTGCTGGCCAGAGCAGAATATGGACCACAGATGTTAACAACCTGGCACTGCTTGCTGTTTCTCAGTGTTGCAGGAGACAGTTTGTCCTGACTGAATTCCCAATGACCTGAAAAGACTGACCAAGTCCAGGCATTTGAACCAATTTTTAACTTCAAATGATGAGTGCTCAGCTACCTGACAGATTCCAGTTTGGAAAAATCCATCTTTCCAGGAGTGATGGAGCAGATGTGTCTACTTTAGCAATGGGTACGTGTAGCTTTCCTAACTGAGAGACCTAAGATCTTTCCTTTGCTTTTGAACATGTTATCTTTACCTGTAGCCAGAGGTTGTTTTGGGGCAAAAAGCATTTCAAATGAAAAATAAACAGATAAGCATATAAATATCAGAAAGATACATTGAAATATAGGAGAGATTTAATGAACGTGGAGGATTTCAAGAGACAGTGGGGGTGATACACTATTATTTTTTTAGTGGTCATTAGAAGAAAAGTAGGCAAAAGACCATGAAGTAGTCAGTAGAGTTATTGATGCCCACCTTTTATTTACTAAGCAGAAACGGGATCTTGGCCTTCTTCCTGTTTGTAAATGTCTTCTCTTAGAGAAATGGTAATGATTCCTATGGGGAAAGATTTTCTTCCTACTTGCTCTGTCTCAGAAGACCTTAATCTGGGTTTCAACTGCTAGTTGAATAAATTTGGTATCATCTGAAGTTTCACAGATTAAATTATGCAATGCATTAAACAAACATGAACAGAACAGAAATAATCCAAGTTGATTTAAGAGGTTAGGAGAATGAGAGCATGTGAGAAAATGAGTGCATGGGGAAAAGAATGTGCAAATACAGCTAAGGCAAAGATGTTAAACCTTCATATCTAATGGAAGAGACAGACCAGAGTGGAGTGGCTCCAGAAGATGATTATATGCTCACTGCATGTAGTGCTCAGTAAAAATGAATGCACTTGTAATCGCCTCTGGAAGTAAAGCTGGCCACAGTAAATCCAGGCCTCCATAAAGACAGAGGAAATTACATGGCGTGCTTACTAAAGCTGGTGAAACAATGAAATTTTGGAAGCTCTCATTGCTGGAAAGATGCTGGTAATTTGGAATAAATTTATAGAAAACTGGCAAGAAGTGGACTGCCAGAGATAGAGATACTTGTTTAGAAAGAGGAATCAGAAGATTTAAAAATGTCTAACTTGGCAGTAATGTCCAGATATTTTAATAATATGACAAACAAGGGTGGGAATAATCTGGAGTTGTTTTCAACACTCAGGGATAGAGTTGTCATGATAATATTAAATCTTCTGCAGCTTTGATCCCTGAATGGAATATTGAGGCACATAAAAGCCTCTCCCACTGAAACCACCTTGAAAAATATAAGCACAAACCCACTAAGTTCTTAAATATCAAATGTTGTGATTTGAGTAAAAAGGTTTTGAAACAGGAAACCATTTTCTTTTGGTTTTGGACTATTGCTTCTTTTTATTTTGTTTGTAAAATGATAAACATATTCACCTCTTTCCAAGTGTAGGTGCCTTTAAGCAATTTAAAATCACAGTAAACCTCAGTTAATTGACACAAGTTCTCTTTGTTGGTCACTGTTGTCATAATTGCTAGCAGTTTCTTCTGCTGAATATTACAGTACGATAATTTCTGATCTCACACTTGAACTTTGTTCCTAACTAACACCCAAAGAAAGGTGGGTGCTTGGCAGAATGTACCAGTCATTGAGGTTTGTTGTGCCAAAGAGTGAAGTGCTGAGCTAAGGAGGCTGTGTAACGTATAAGCAGATTTTTCTCCTGAATTGAAAAGCTTAAGCTGTGTACTTCTGCTTATGTCAGCTGTAGCACAGAGAAAGGCAAAAGAAGCAATGCTTCAGAAAAAAAAAATAAATAAACTGAAATAATTTGGAACTTCAAAGATTAAAACAATACTCTGAATTCTGCCCAGTGCCCCAGGAAAATGGTTCAATTTGACACCAACTGCTGTAAATGTAGTTTTTTCTAATATTCAGATTATCAGTACTGCTCTAAATTATCTAAGTTGTAAAAAGAAAATTGATAGTATCATATTCATTAAATAATTAATTAGGGTTAAAATAGGAAATTACCAAGTCCCTCCAAAATAAAAGATTTTATTTATTTATCCAAGCATTGATTTCAGAATTAAGAGCACGTCACTTCTGTTGCTTCCCAAGTACCCAGGGAAAAGGCATCACTCCAACAAAGTTTATAGATCCTGGTTCACAAGATACTTAAACTGGTGCCTAATTTTAAGTACTACCCCAGCTGAAAAAAAACCTCAGCCTGCATCCCTAAAATGTAGTCATGTGCTTATTAACTTCATCAAATAAGGCTCTGAATTGCAAATCTAGTTCTCCAGTAGGAGCTGAATTCCTTCAAAGCAAATGTCTCTGCTGACCTTTTGGTGTTTCTTTCACTTTATCAAAGTTTAGAATGCCCTGTTCAGACAGGGTTGGAATGGGGTTTTTAACAAAATGTCTTGGTGGAAATACAGCCCTGATTTGCCATTAGAAAAGAAAGGCAAACCAATAAACCTATAAGTATCTTGTATTTATGACTTGCAGTAATTTGATTGTTCCTAACATTCACAATGCTGTTGCCTGCATTCTGTTTAGTGTCCTTATCCTGGCACACACATATACCCATGAGCCTTCTTTTCTGAATTTTTTTACCCTTGTGATTTTCTAATACTGCTTCATGCTCTTCCTTACTTGGGTCTTTATTTTCATTTTCTTTCTTTAGTAGTTTTACAACATATTTGAATTTTATATACCTGCCTGCCCCCTTTCTTGCCACCATCTGAAAATGTGATTAGCACTCTGCACAAAATCCTTCAGTTCAGTTATATAATTTGGGATTGAGAACTGACCCCTGTAAGTCCTAGCTCAACAGCTCTTCTTAGGAAGTCAGTGACCCATTATTATAATTATTCTGTGTTTGCAAATTCTAGACTTCTATAGCTACTTTGAAAGATTTGATTATAAATCTCTTTCCTATCATTTTCTTGTGAGACTATCACATAAAAATGTAGAAGGTGCCTTGCAGAGCAGGTGTCTATGCTCACAGTGTTTCCCCTTTTTGCAGACTGTCAGTACTTTGACACAAGCATTGTGAAATTAAGCATTCATAGCTGAAGACAGACTAAAAATTAATAATTTTCCATTGCATTAATATGTACATGCCGTACGTATTATATATTTAACTCAAGTTTAACGGGACACTTGAAAATCTATATTTAACAAGGAAACAGGAATATAGCATATTTATTTCACAGAAAATTTAACTATTGGGGTTCTTTGATTACTGAGTGCTTGATTTTAAAAGCTGTAGTTTGCATCTTTATTAGTATAATTTGACTATTATTTTAAAGTAAATAATAGTGACGGATGCTTAGGAATGTTTTAAATAAGATTCTTCAGTTGTGCAGTGTACAAGCTTTTCACTGAGCTTAGCTGAGAGCCAAGTCCTTTTCTAAACATTACAGTCTTCTTAGCCTTTTCTGTGGAACAGAAATAAATTTTTATATTACTAAAATTTAAGTTTATCTCCTGCTTCAACAGTTCAAGTTATAAATTTCTATACCCCAGGAGCTAGACTGTTATCATCAAATAGACCACATCTGTCATTATTGGTCTGATTGATCATTCCATGTTCTGGCAGCCCCCTGGCAGACTTCAAAAACCAGATCCAGATCTAGTTTAGATATGAGATTTGTAAACTAATAGTTGAAATTAGGGGCCTATATTATGTAGTTGTGTTGAGCTTTTCAAATTAACCTTAAGGAATTCATATATCCATATGACAAAGATAAGTACTTGAATCCTGTAAGCTTCTCTGGATATATCCCTCTGTGTTCATACCAAATACATAATGCCCATTTTGGATATAAAGTAACTATAAAGTTATTTGTATTATAGTAAATGAATAAAGGCTCACACTCATCTTTTACACTGTCAATATTTTTCTAAAGCAGAAGAGGCATTTGTTAATAAGGAATATGAAGTTTGGGTCCCAAACTTTCAGTGAAGCTGGTCATGCACCTGCTTACTTTGTGCACAAATCATTCTACTGAATTCTAAAGGACTATTCATGTGCATAAGGCTAAGCCTGTGTGTAAAAGCCTTTGCAAGACTGGGCCTAGGTTGTAAACCTGAAACTGATTCAACAGAGAAAAAGCAGACCTTCTAAAAAGTTGAGAAGTGTCACTGTAGCTAAGCTGAACAGGTATGGGCAATGTTAGGAGACCTCATAGTACAGAACTCCGAAAAGTGACCAAGAAAAACTGGCAAAAGTTATCATAAATGTTTTTTTTTATTTACATTTTATCATACTGAATTTTACCTTAAGCTTATTAATTATTCAGTTCCTCTTAATTTCATTATCACTGTGAATTCAATTTGAATAACTTTCTTGCAGGCACTTAGAAACTTTCCTGTTTAAATTTCAGATATATATTTATATATATATATATATATATATACACATACACATATATATGCATATATACACACACACACAGTCTTTATGAAAGAGTAGATCTGCTATGAGAATTGTAGTTGCAAGAAATCATAACTAGGCTCTTTGGAAAACTTGCTTGAGGAGGAGGCAAGACATCAATACTGTTTCATATGCAAGTGTACAGAAGAGTTTTGCACTCTTATTTGTTCGTACCGTGTAATATTCCGTTTTCTGCTTCAAGTGTTTTGTGCTTCATGGCACTAGTTTATGTTTCAGAGACAGTGCATTACCTGCAGGAGCCTCTCAACAAAATCTGGGAATTCCAGTTGTTGTGATGCATCTCCTAAAACAATTTTCTAGGTATTGCTTCCATGAATTGCTTCCACCAAGAACTTCCATAGAATTAGATAAAGCTTTTTAATGTGTTTCTTGTGTTTAGCATTAAACACACAGGCAATGCTACTAAAATTACCCTGAAAAAGAAATGAAAATACTTAAATATAAACTGAGTTCCTGCTTGGGACTATAGTTTTTAGCATTTAATATGCTGAGTGTATGAAATAGACATCTTTTGCACCATCACAAAATACAAATATTTTCCTTTACGTAAAGCTAATTGTTGTCTTATCATGATCTAGTCGCTGCTAAAATGGTCACTGAGTGGCCTTTAGATTACATTGACTATGAAATGTCACTTGTTTGTTAGGCTCGCTAAGGTAAAGTTGTTTAAAAAAATAAGAAAAGAGTCTTTTTCTGTAGTTTAATTGACTTTTATTCACACTAAACTGATTCTCTCAGAAAATTCCAGTTTCCTCAGTGTAAAGATTAATTTAATAATCTCAGCTAGGTGAAGAAGAGAACAGGTTAGGCATGGACAAACCATACCAAAGGTGCAGAGAGTGAAGGTGAGAGTCCAGGGATAGCTACTGCTGACTTTATTCTAGTTGTTGGCCTTGGGGGCATGACTGATCTTTTGCTCCGTTTGATGCAGAAAAAGAATGAAGAAGGTACATCTTATAAGACATGGTAACCTTTTAAATTATTATTTAAATGAAGATTAAAGTTATGGACTTGGAGAGTATTTTGCTGTTTTATAATTTAGCAGTTCAGGCTGAAGTTTCTTTTGTGTTCTTTCTGTTTTTTTACAGGCAGCCTAGAAGATGGACATTTGACAGGCGACAATAGACTGCTCCTTTCCCAGGTATCTCCTGCTTGTTTCCTTTATCTGTGAATAGGAAATGGCTTAAAGGCACCTGTGTTATGAAGGTCCCAGGGGCAGCTGCCTGACTAGTGAATGCCTGATTATGTGTTAACATGCTTTGTCAGATATTGGCAGAATCTGTTCTCTTCTTTTGCCTTTTCAGCAAGGGTACCATTGACAGACTGGCTACCCATTTATAGAAATGTTGTCCATCAAACTGTGAGGAAGGACAATGGTGTTTTTCTGTGACCAGTGACTGTGGGAAACTTTTCTTTGGCTATTCAGGCAATTTTTGTAGCTTGCTCTGAAGAGGAGAGACTGATGAGTGCAAAAAGTACAATTAAGCAAAGCCAGACTTCAATTGAAGGCTGTAGTGTAGTCTGCTTGTTCTCATTTTTTTATTTGGAAAAAAATCTATGGGTTTTCACGTTGCTGTGTGGCATTCAGCGGGGGGCTATTACAAACCTAAATTTTTTTTCTAGACCACCTAATTCTAAGTAAAAATTAAATGTAATGAGAGCCACTTGGAGTTCTGAATATTTTAAAGCATAATTCCCACAGAAGGGATTCGACCTAAACTGTGGAGAGCATCAGTTGGCTAATTATAGCTGCATTTTATATTACAGCAGGTGTCAGATGCAGTCATCTCAATAAAGTCCACATAATACTCTGGAAAATAACAAAAGCTTTTCTTTGAATGTGGGTACTAATTTCTGCTAGGTGTCATATGAGCTCTGATACTTCTCATTGGTGTTAACAAGAGCACTGCAGCACTCAAACATGCTTTTTGCTTGGGATGAATTGATACTGTAAAGCACTTACTAGTCAGCCTTGGCAGATGTCAGTAGTTAATACTAGTGTTGCAGAGGTTGGTATATAATGCAGAGTCCTACTTAAATACTTTTAGATGATGGGCTGGTTTTGAGAATGAGTGTGAACTGTGCACCAACTTGCTTAATGAAAGCTAAATAGACAACAGCAGGATAAGAGTGCTTCCTTCAGTTTCTATCTTATTTTAAGTCCTCTGCAAGTAAAGGGTAGATGGGAAAGCAGTAAACTAGGTGAACAAAAACATTAAACTTAATAATCACTTCATGCTGTCATACTATTTTCCCAATTCAGTGGAAGCAGCAAGTTTGAGTAACTGAAGTGATTGGTGAGAAAGGTCTTTCCTAGGGCTCAAAATTAAAAATTGTATCTTCAGAATAGCCTCCGTGTGGTGAAACTACAATCCGTAGTCATTTGGTGTTCACCTGACTTCCTAAATAAATTATGAAATTCTGTGATTACAAGAGATTTGTGTTTTAAAATATTAATGAATCATTAAAATAAATACTGAAGTGTGTTGCATGCACAGAAACCCTTGAACACAAGGAACTGAAGGCACAAATGGCAGGGTGAAAAGCACAGGCAGCAAAACCTTCCCAGATGATTGTGCTTGGCCTAGCATGCAATAGAGATGCTTCCCAAGCTTGCCTGAGAAGGAGTAAGATAGGAGACACTTCAGTACAGAACAGCAGGGTCAGGCCACAAGGAGCTTGCTGCTTCTCCTGATGAGGAAAGGATGTACCTGGTTCAGACATGTATGAGAGGGGTTTCAACAAAGAACGATACAAAATGTTGGACTAATCGTGCAGGAGGGACAAGCATGTACTAGCAAAACAAAGGAATTTTGATAGATTATAAAATCCTCCAATATCTGAGTCTTCTGGAAGAGCAGTAAGACATTAATGAACTAATGTCTGGTGCCATCTACCTTACCCTACATTATTTCCTCTGAGAAAAGGTATTCCAGAACACCAGACTGCCTTTGTCTCTTACACAGAAGTCCACAGAGAATTGCAGAGGTTATAGAAATAATAAATACAACTTAATGTTATAAGTCTTTTATTTTTAAAATGTTATGAATAAAACTGAATCACAAACTCCAGCATGTTACCTTAGCAACTATGTAAAGAACCAAAATTAATCACAGGTTATGAAATATTATTTAATGTTTTGTAGAACTGCAGAATAGTTTGAAGTATAATCTTAATGTTCAATCTTACTGCATTACATATTCAATGTACTAACAAGTAGGAAGAGCGTGGTCTTGGTCTGAAGACTAGATGCAATAAGTAATTTGTAAAAAACAAGTGAAAGTAAATTATATATATATTCATATTAGTATGTGTTTCTGGATTAACATACACATATGGTTCCAAAAAGTTTCTAAATACAAGAATAAACATATAATCCATCTAAACCTGATCAAAACCAGATACAGAAACCAAACACAGAGATGAAAATTGAGGGAGAAATAATTTCTTAGCTAATCTGTACCTGGCATCTGAGGAGCAGAGGGCTGTCTATAGGAGAACTGCTTTAGCTCTCACACATAAGGTTACGTCTAAGAAAAAGACATATGAAAAGGCCTAGTAACAAAAGCCCAATTACAAAAGCTGAAGGCATGATTGCCATTGTATAAATGAATTTACTAATTTACCCCATTTATTCCACATAGCCCCTTTCTGAAACCTTTTAATACTGAGAGAAGCCCTGCTCAACTTGGAAAGCTCTGAAGAATTCTGTGGAAGGCTGGGAAGGTAAAGAAGAGGTTATGTTAACTGCAAGAACTCTCAGTCTGTTTGGGCATTTGGTTGTCTCCCTTTTAGCCCAAAAAGCATGAGGAGACCACCACTGTACTACATTGCTTCTGCACTACTGCTTTTCCATGTCTTAAATTTCTGGGTTTGGGATTTGCTCCTGTGTATGTGATACAGAGCTAGGTATTAAAGTATAAAACCACCTCTTACCAGTAGACATTAATTTTTTTTTTCTCTTCATTTTACAGTAGAAGGTAAGGGATAGTTATCAGCAAGTAGAGGTGCTGCTGTAAAAAGTAGCTACCAATAGTGTCACTCAAAATTTTTTACCCTCTGCAGATTACACAAACCGAACAACTTCTTGTGATGTCTCTTAAGGATTCTATGGAAGAAGGCTTCTGACAGTTCCTCTGGTAAAGACTGTTACTTCCCTATATATGACAAGAGTTTTATGTGTGTGTAATTCTCCTTGATTATTCTAAAAAAATGAATGTGTCTAGGATAATTTTGTATATCACCTACTATGAAAATTGCTTTTGTGGCAAGCAAAATCAACTGCTCCGTGACCTACACTTCTTGATATTAGAGGTTATATGAAACTTACTGCTCTCTCCTTTCTCCACCATTATTGCTACTTCTTTCCCTCCATTTTTGCTCTTAGATTACAGAGATGTGATTGCACAATACAAGCAGCACAGATGGCAGCTGAAGGTCTCTATCTGCCAGGTGTCTGCATAACAGCTGAGCCAATGTACACAGCTGAGCACAGCTCACTTTCTGACATAGATGTTCAGCACCATTTCTCTGAATCATAGCCTTGCACAACCTTTGGAAGTACCTCTGGGAAATTTTAGAGTGTACTCAAGTACACAATGCTTTGGCAGGCAGAAAACAGAGGAAGTCTTGCTCTGAATTCATCGTGAATGCTCAGAAGAAAGAAGTACTTGCTGCATTTTCTACTGTGGATGCAAAGGGTGGGCTTGAGGATGTAAAATGCTGGGAAAGTGTAGACTCTATAGAAATACATCACCTATAAATATAAAAATATATAAATAATCACCTATCCTCAGAGAAAGTCTGTGGGAGATCTGCTCAGGTTTGCTGACGGACTCTGGTAGAGAAAGGAAGATGAATCTTTCGAGCTAAGGAGGAAATTCTGTGGTCCTGTAATAGCCAAGAGAGAACAACTGGCTTTTGTAGTTTGGGAGTGCAGTATTATGTTAGTCAGAGCTCTGTGAAACTCTCTTCCTCTTATTAGGGCTCAGATGTGTCCAACAGCTCCTTTCTGATTGAGGTTCGCAAATTAGGTCTCACAAGAAGTGATGTGATCCAATACATGCACCGTCCTGTGACTGTCCCCAGAGAGATGCACTTTTCTGTAGACATGCAGATACGCACCCATGAACGCTGTGCAGACACTTCCAGCCTAATGCTGCTGGTCTCCATGTGCAAACAGGTGCAAGAGATTGGACTTTGGGAACCTTGGCTGAAGGGGAGAAAGACATCTGAGGAAGAAAGAAGCCAGGTGATGGCTTACATAGGAAATAGCTTTGGAAAGAAGAGAGTTGCACTGTATAGGACCAAGAACTTGAAATAGTTTGGGGAAAAAAGGAAAGTAGGAGTGTGAGAGGGAGTTCTGGCTTGGTGTCTACTGTCACTGACACTTTCAGGGACCAGAAGTGGAGCCAAAGCCTTATATCTGAGAAGGGTTTGGGCTTCTCCAATAGTTTCATATGTTACATTATTTCATTGTCTGCATGGAACATCGAAGCTGTTTACAGTGCTCTAGGTCAAAGAAGCTGGGGAGGTCTGGGGAGGAATGACATTTCCATGAGTAGCTTCACATGATCAGCTTACAGAAAGGGGTGGAGAGTGGCAGAAAAAAAACCACATGGGAAAGAAGTGAAAATTCCCAAAGCATTCTGCCAAACATTACAGCTATCAGGAAGATCACTGGTGCATAAGGGAATGGTAATACCCCAAGGGTGCCAGCAGTGATATTCACTGTTTGTAATGATTTTGTAGTAAGATACAGAGACAAGTTCACCCATTACCAGCACTGAGAAGAATTGAGTTATGGTGTCTAATGGTGGAGAATTTATTTCCTAGATCCAAGCCTATGAGAGTGAAACAATGCTTCTTCCTGCTCAGTGTGAAAGATGTCTCTTCTTTGAGAGCTCACTTTTTTCTTTCATTGAAGAGGAAAATAAAAACATTTTTGTAAAAATTATGAGTGAACACTGTGTCTGTGGACATAGTTTCATTTTACTTTAGATGTGGGATGAAAGATCATGAAGTATCTTCATCTGGCCTTCCTTAAACCACACTACCTTTAAACATGTATTCAGGAAAATACAGTTTGAAGTATTAAAAACGTTTAAAAAGACTTTGCAGGTAATGTGTATGTGAAGGTTCAAGCAATCATCCAAGGCCAGAGTACTTGAACAACTGAGGAACTGTTAAATTACTGTGATCTTAAAAATGATTACTGTAATACTTCAGAGAATACATTTGCCATAACAAATATAGAACATATTTTCTAATTTCTCTTATGGTTATCAAGGTCATTCCATGACAGAATGCAAAACGTTTTATTTTTCTCATTCAGATAGTGTTAGGTGCATAAATTCTATAGCTAATATAGAAAGGCATTTAAAAGTTGAATTTTATTAATGGAGAGATTATGTCTTTGTTCAATATCATACAATAATTTTTATCTTCCGAATGGAGTCTAACAATACACAGGCTCAGGCTGGCTTTATTCCACCAATACATGCCATTTCCAAAAGTGTGTTGCCGTATATGTTAAACACAGTGCACACACAATTACCCTAGCATTCCTTGAAAATTAATTTCAAATCCACATTTATTGAAGTGCCTTGGGGCAAGAACCATCTTTTGTTATTAAACAATGCAAACAGGATCTTGGTCCATAATTGGGGCTCCTAAGCACTGTGAATTCTTTCACCAGTGTCTCACATTCTCTTTCTCTCTCTCTTTGTCCCTCTGCAGATTATGCCAGTGTTTACAAAGGTTGGGATCCCTTGCATCCTCATCAGTTTTTACATTTGCCCAAGAATCAGATTCAGTTTAGCCTAGCATTCTTCACAAAGATAAAAGGGTGACAGATCCTGACACATCTGTGCTTTTGAAAAGTAGGAAAGCTGATTTGATGCATAAACCCTATGCTAAAGCTGTCTCCAAGGTGAAATTGCACCAGTCTTGGAACAAAAAGTGGAAGACTGATATTTAAACTACATACAGTGATATACTTGAGCACTCTTCCTTTTTGTATAGTCAGAAAATGCTGTAATAGCCTTATTTTTCAGTTTTTAACTACTGAAAATTAGCTTTAAATATGACTTTTCTGTGATCAAAAGACACCTGATTTGTGTCTTAGGTGATAGTCAATCTTCTTCTCGCTATGGGCTTCTTACAATATTATTTCAAGTTGTAATAGTGGGCAAGATATATTATTGAATGCTTATTTTTCAGTTTCACTACCTGGGCAAACATATGAGTCATATATTGATCACTGAATTACTAAACTTTAATGCTTAATTTATACATGACAGATCAGTATATTAGAAAATAAATAAATGGGTGAATTTACCAAGGTGTTGATAATTTTTTGTGATTTTGTTATGTGACATGGATATAGGAAAATGGGAATGAAATGTGAAATTATTAAAGAAATACGAAGAGCCAGAATGGGTGATCCTGACAAACTAGAAATCTCTTTCTAAGCTCTGATACTTTAGCCTGCAGTTAAAAAGAGCTTTGCCACTGAAAGAGCATTGTGACCATAATGCTTATTCCCCAAACAGGAGTGGTGTAGCAACAACTATTCAGTCACAGGTTCTTAGCTTGTTTGTATAGTATAAAGCCAGTAGAAACCATTGCAATTCTCTAGCTGGACCTCCCACGTAACATATAAGATTTTCCTGGCATTAATTCCTTTGGAAATTAGAGTGTATATTTGAGAAAAAAAGCTAATCTTGATTATAAAATTTCCAGAGATAAAAAAACTACCAAAATGCTGAATATGATGTTTCAATTATTATAAGCAAAATGAAAAAAAAAAAGTGTTCTCTAGTTTGAATTTATGTAGAATTTAGTTTAAACTGTTAAGTCTTGTTAGACGTTGATTTGCCCAAAATAGAGACATTGGTTAATCTTCATCCTTCTTTAGTAAAAACCTCACAGAACTTGGATGAATCAACTTTAACTTGGTTTCTGGGTTTCTTTACTGAAAGAAGGTAGTGTGCAGAAAAGCATATGAATTTACAGTGCTTGAACTCATGAGCTCTGGCTTGCCAGGCATACCCATCTGATCAGCTTTAAATAGCCAAGACACAAACTACCTCAACTTAAAGACAAATTTAATGTCTTGAGATTTTTTAATTTAACTTTGAAATTAAACAAACTGCTGAAAACAGGCTGAAACAATAGCACACATCTGCATATAGTTCACATCACGCCACAGTTACAATTATCATATGTACATCTGGCCAGGCTAAACTTTATATTCTCAGAAATATACAGTATGTTTATACTCCCATGTGGTCTGGTCCAGAAGCAGAATTATATCATTTGAGTTACAGACTGCATTGCACATATGCCGTAGCTGTAGTTTGATTTCTTCCTAAAACTCATGTATTTAGTTCCAATGAATTAGTTTTCAAGAGAAGGAAACAGTTTATGCCAACATCTTTTCATTTCATTATTAATAGAAGAACATCAATGGAATCCTCACCTTCAAGGAAATCACAATTAGAGGCCAGAAAAAGGTTAAAGAGATAGAGGTACAGCAGAATGTCAAGGGAATCTTGCTAGCATTTTGTCTCTCGTGACATGTTTCACAGAAGTCACAGAATTAGTAGCCTGGTTATGGGTCTGGACTGTAGAACTACTGACAGGCATGTGACTGAATGAAATTGCAGGATGAGGGGAGAGCACAGTCCCACACTGAAAATCTGTATTTTATTGCTGAAGACCAGAGATGATAAGGGTCCTCTCCCCCAAAGAAGACCATTAGAAAGATTCAACAACTCAATTTTGTAAAATATTGATTTGGGCAGCTGGTGTTACCAGCGTGATCATAGTATTTCAGAAGTCTTTCCAAAGCAATGCTGAAACGAATTACAGATGGTGTGTCACTGAGTCCCTGCTGAGATAAACATGCAGTTCCTAAGACAGGCATTCTTAAAGGTGGAAAATACATGCCTGATGGTGATTTTGAATCATTTGTCTAGAAATATCAATTACATCAGTAGCTTGATGTAACTCCTGATCTGAACTTAAGGCATCCTTAGAAAACTCTTGAAACTGAGAAACTAAAGAGCTACATACAGGTTGAGCTTTAGCACACTGCTTCTGAGAGAATTCTCATCTGAATTTCTGGGTTTGTTCAATATCCTCTGGGTTATAGACAACATCACAGATTTTTGATTCTGGCTATCCTATTGAGAGAATTCCTTTCAACTTCCATATTCTATGGCCAAACCAGGCCATATAAAACCATATGTTGCTTGTTTGAATCCCGTAACCATACAATGCAGGTGACTCAGTGTCTGGTTTCTTCTCAGGCATTTTTGCCTGAGATGGCTAACACCAGTGAGATTAATTTTAGGATCACAAATGAGCTATTTCAGTCTTCCCCCCACCCAAATCCCCCCCACTTTTTTTTAGTTGGGCTTCTAGCAGTGGTGCCTTTGAAATTCCATATTTTCTTCTTTTCAAAGTCTTTTCTCCTCAAAGTCTTGATCCTATTCTCTACATCTCTGTGTTTTGTACTGTGTAAGTGCTCATTTACTTCCTCTTCCACTCTGTCTTGTAAGGGCAACACCTCCTCTGATTTCTTTGAGACAGAGGTCTATCTGGTGTTCTTCTTGTACTTTATTTTCAGAGCACTGCACATGATTTGGAGAATGTTTGAATTCTCAGATTAAGGCTATGTCAAGAGTAATTTTTGAAAATCTTCCTGCATGTTGACATTCCTTTAATTTTGTCAGTCTTCACCTTGTTTATCCTGGTTAGGATTCCTCTTATCTGACACTCAAAAGAAGTAAGGGTTTGAAGGACAATTTGACATTAACGTGTTTATAACATACTATCTATAGCATTTGGGCCTCAAACAAATGTCTGCATACATCTTGGAAGAAGCCAAAAACAAAGTACTTCTGTGCAAACTAATTCTGTTTTGTCATAATATTTCCAGAATTGCAGTCAGCTATAAATTTCCAGCATGAAATTTAACATTCAAATTGCAATCTCAAACTGCTACTGATACTGAAGAGGAAATAGAAAAAGATTAGAGAAAGAAATAGGGAAAGTTTTTTAGCTAAATCTGCTCCAGTGTATATTATGTAGTTGGGTCTTTTGATAGTGATATGTTTAATGCAAATGGACACAATAATGAAACTACCTGAACAGATATATAGTAATCTAAATTTCATTATTTCACATCCTAAAAAAAATTTCTATTGTGTGTGCTGCACAATTAAACTTAGGTCCTTTAATTTATTTATCTTAGTCAAGGATTTCAAGAAGGGTTACTTCTCACAGTCTTGGGTATCTCCATTTTTTCAAGTTAAATTTGGGGCTTCTTTAAAATGGGATTGATTTTCAGGTGTGTAAGTACTTACCTGGTTGCTGTAGAGTACATATTTAAAAGGTTTATTTCTCTGGTGTTCAAGCATAGAGACACTCAAAATTTTCAGTTGTTTCTGACAAATCTTGATGATACTACATGTTTGTATTTTAAAGCACACAAAATTTTCTGAGCTGAGGTACAACAAATTGTAAAGGGTAGCATCATGATGCTGGATGGATCAGAAACCTGTGAGTGAATTGTTAGTGGTAGAGAAGAGAGAGGTTAAGAAACTGTGTGCTGTTATTATCAGATTAGCTCCCTGGTGAACATGTTGCAGAAATTATTTATTTTTGCATACAAAAATACTATTTTTAAATCTGGATTCTAGGACCTTATATTCGAAGGGGCTGAACCTCTGTAAATCATTAAAGCACCTGAGTAATTCCACTTACATTAACAATACTGCTTCAGCATCTGCTTAGAGTTATATACATGCTTAAGTACTCTGTTGGGACTTAAATGATGTGGGTTTGGATAGCCTAATGTTGTTATTTCTTATTGTCACAAAATATATATAAAATGGAAGTTCAAACCCCTATCATTAATACCTGTGTTTTACTCCTATTTGTTTCAGAATAATAAAGTTTTCCTCTTAGAAAAATTACTTATTTTCTCCTCCTACCAACATTATAGTACAATATATTAGTCCTTGATTAAAAAAATTCCTGAATACTTTCTGAAAGTGAAAACAAAATGTATGGTACCTTTTTGTCCTCTGATTATGTATAACCTGAAAGAAATTCAGTAGTGAAGCATGACCTTTCATTCCTGAGGCAATATTAGCTATCCTTCATCAAGCTGAGCTTTCCTAAATGGTTCCCATTTAATGTCCAGAAATGCTTTTTAAGATTCCCTCCTCCCAAAAGGCATCAAAACTAAATGGTCTATAATTTTCTGAAGTGTTACTTGAGTCCATCTTCAATAATGACATTATATTGGCTATTTTCCAGCCGTCAGGCCTTTTGCTGACTAGAACAACTTTGTGAAGTGTCTGCAAAACTTGAAGTAATAATACCCACGTTTGGAGGTGGGGGATTTCAGAAGTATTGAATATTGTTAGCTGTTTATTAGTGGAATGTTGTTATTAAATGTGAATATATTATTATAACATACATTAATTATTAATTTCCCTTTCCCCAAACCATCCATGTTTCATCTAGAATGCACTCACTTGAGCTATTCAATGTAAATCCTATGCATACCTTAAATGGTCTTTAAAAGAGGTGTTGTTTTACAAATAGCGAAAGAGCTATTAAAAAAAATCCAGTAAGAAATTTAACAATAATGCAAAAGGGTGAAATCACTTTGTTTACTGCATTGTCTTTTAAACTGAAAGACAGTGTTCATGGGACCGATTTGGAAAGAACACTAGCACAAAGTTAAAGAGATATCCTTGCTATTTAATATATATTCCTTTCATTCTCAGTGCTCCAAAACTAAGATACGAAATAAGTGGGGGAAAAAATTAGATGGAGGGCATGTACAACAATACTGTTTAAAAAGTTGGATATTAACAATGCTTCTTGTAGCAACACTTGTAGGTGTCATGGTCTGTGTGCTCTATGTACACCGGATAAAAACCAATAGCTTGGTAGCTCCGCCCCTCAAGTGTTACATTTGTTTTCAAATAAGTTTAGTAGCAGTAGTGGTGACGCTGACATTTCTCTGTACTGGATCATATGTCACTACAGGAGTTTAAACCTAACTGTTCTATGTCCATATAATAAAACAATATATATAATAATATATAATAATAATATATATATATAATAAAAAGTGGTTACTGCCCCACAGAAACTATTTTTTGGAATAGCGGAAGGGAAAAATGTCTGGATACTGCAAAAAGAGGACACAAGACAACAGCAGGCTGTCAGTCACTAGCAGCTGCTATGAAATTACTTTTGAGGGCTCCTCATTAAGTCAGTGCTAACTGAGTGACCGTAAGCATCCTCCTGGCTGAACCAAATGCAAGGTGAAATATTTCACATGCAACTGCTTTCCATCAAAATAAGGCTATGTGTATATATGGTCAATTGCTACAGCTCAGTTGATGTTCAGTACTTTGTTAAGAGGTGGTACTGCAAGATGTCTAAGCCTTGTGTTTTGATTAGTAATTTTTGTGAAGTTTTTGGTGGTTTGTTCAATACATTCCTCCAGCACTTCATTTGCAATACAAATTTTCATTTTAAATAATTCATACTTAATTACAGTAGTTGTCAGTTTATGTGGTCCTTTTCATTCTTGAAATGCTTTAGAAGCATTAATTCCCACAAAGTTTTGAGAAGCAATTAAGTATTAATGTTCCATTTTTACAAACAAAAACCAGAAAATACAGAGGTTGGGCAAACATTTCAGAGCATCAACTGTAAAATTAGGCACTGACTAGATAGAGACTTGATCTAATTTTCAGAGGCACTGAAGACATTTGCATATTCAGAATGGAAACTTTTGTCCTAGTAGTTAAATTCATAAAGACTCTTGGATATCATATTACTGAGTATTACAAGTTTTTAACTACTCAGGATCAAGATATGGGAGGAGTTCATTAACTCAGAATGTTTGCAGCAGGTGAGCACGAAGCTGCCTGAGCTAACACAAGAGAAAGACTGATTTCCAGATTCTCACAATTCCAGCTGTATAAATAACCCTTTACAAACTTCTTTCCACGTGGGCTGAAGAACCCTGCATCTTTTCCTAGCATGAAATGCTTAAGTAATTTCTGAAGAAAAAGGAGATGGAGAGAACTGGGGATTGGAGTATGATCTGTTTCCTCAAGTACTCACAAGACTGTGCACATTTTAGGACTGCCATTTAACAGCTCCAGCAACCAGTGTAGAATTTGTGTCCCAAGAAGAGATTTCTGCCAAACGGTGAAGCTCTTGGAAGCTGTGGTTTTGACCTTGCTTTGTCTCTCAGCCTAAGGAGAGAGCTGAACTTGGGAGAAATGCTCTGATCACCAGGGTAAGGTACAAAAAGCAGGTCAGTACTTGTCTTTGGTTTTAATAACATAAATATCCATCATTAATTTCCACACAGAATCAGTCTCCTAGGTACACACTTCACATGCTCTGAGCACAGCTACTATTTCAGATTTCTCAAAAGGCTTAAGTGAGATGCACCCAGGTTCTTGCTGTGAACAAGAGGAAGTGGACATGTGAGGGCCTTATGCTGCTGCTGAAAGGGGGCTGCTGCTGAGCATTAGTGAACATGTGTAGAAAGAGGTGTTTAAGTAGTGAGAATTTTAACTGGTAATATCTCTGGCCTATAGGACTGGGTTCCAGCTTTGAAGGGTTTGACAAGCATGATATTGACACTACTACAAATATACATGCTAAGCATATGTCTGTGATAGTTATTCTCAGACATTTGAAGTCCCATTAGCCATTTTTTCTTGTTTGCATCATATATCTATGGGATGTTTGGTATTTGGTGTAAACAAAAGTTGATAGCAAAGGATTTCTATTTCATGAACATAAAGGTAAGATTTATCCCAAGTTTCCTTGTGGGGCAAGGCATTTCCTGCTGTGAATCATGTGACAGCCTTGTCTCCTAGGCAAGCAGCCACCTATAAATAGTAAAGGAAGGAGGTACAGAAGGACTCAGAAGCAAAGAATAGCAAATGGCTACATTTATGGTGAGAGTGTGTAATTATCTTCCAGTGCAAATTTCTGCAGAAGTGTGGAAAGGTGTGGTACAGTGAGAGTCAGACTGAACTTCATACCCTGAGCTGTGGCACAGTTTGCAATAGTGAGGTACATGGCTGGTGATCAAGTTAAAGTATTCACTATTCCTAAAAATATTGTGGGTCCAGGGTTGAAGGTGACTGTAGCATTGATCCCAGAGCAGGCAAGACTGGACTGAATTATTCAAAGCTACAAAGGGAATTTGTGGCCAGAGCTAAAATCAGATGTTAGGTTTTTAAGCTTCTTCAATCTGTAGCCTAGATCACTGCACCTTACTTCTCCAAAAAGCTCAATCAAAACATAAAAGTTCAGAATGGCACTCAGTGTTTAAGAAAAATCATATAACAATGAAAAATGAGGAAAAACTGATGTGCAAATTGTTAAGAGCCATTTATATACATACTATTAGGAAAGGATTACATGCATCGATGAATCAGCGGTTTTAATCAGATGAAAATACTTTTGAGCACAGTTCCAGTGTGATGAATATGCTAGAGTTGTAGATCACCAGGAAGAAGATTAATATTCTGTGTATAATTATACACATTTCTTCTCAATTCTTTTTTTGACAGCAAAGAGGATTTAAAGCAACAGTCATTCACTTCACATGAGCACAAAGGAAATGTATGGGGAAGCATGCAACTGCCTGCTCCCCACCTGCCAGAGAGCTTCCACCATCTCTTTGGAAAACAATTTTTTCTTAGTTTCCTGTCTACTCCCATCTTTCTCCCCTGAGTTTTCTCTTATGGCCCCATTCAACTTTGTTCTTCCATCTTATTTTAGGAACAGAGAGGCTCCTGGCCATGGCTATCAAGTGCTGGATAGTTACCCTTTGCTGGCAGTGGTCTCACACTGTCCCCAGCATGAGATGTCTTACTGTAGCTATGTGGTGACTCTTGACAGTGGAGGTTTCTGTGAGTCCATCTGTAAGAGGGCCTGCACAGGATGAATAGCTTGAATATTTAATTTGCAGCTGTTTAGAGAATATGCCTGTATTCAAGTCTTTGATGCTTTCCTCTTTCATCAGTGAGTGATGCTGTACCTTCTTGTACACAACTACAAACTGTCCATCTTTAGCCTTGCTTGAGGCGTGTCTCAGCGTTTTCCCTGGCTGGTCTGCACACTAGCTTGCCAGAACAGGCAGTGATCTCTGCACAGATGCAACTGTTTTAAATGAGCAGTCTCTTCCATCCAATTTCCATTTGAAAAGAAGCAGATGAGCCTCCTACTGGGATGAGAAGTTGTGTGCCCCTATCTCAGCCATTTGACACTATTAAGATGAAACATTTGTGCTGTGTTGTTTTGTGTATTGAGGTGGAGTGTGAACTGCAGTTTGGGCCAGACTTGAGGTTTCACAGGACAGCATGAAGTCAGGCTTCTGTGTACCATTGAACTGCCCATAATACTCTGAAGGCTGGGTGCTCTGAGGTTCCCCACTTGCTATCAGTGGAAGAGCTCAAAGTGCACCCTGAGGGATGGAGAGTGACTGGGCAGTGTAGATGGTAAGGACACTACTGGGCATGTGATAACATAGCTGTAGTTGTTTCTGCATCTGTGTGTCAATGGTCATTAATTCGCATTTTTTACAGCTTGATACCATCACAAGTCTACAACACAGCAATCTCAGTAATGTAAGAACAGCAGCCAACCCTCTTTCAAAGAACTAATTTGATGGCTCATCCTAAATATCAATTAGCAAGATCAGGTCTTTAGTGATGATTTTTTAAGCATTACTGTTATTTTTCTTGTTGGATTTTTTATAGCCGTCATCTGTTGCCATCAGACAGTGTTAATGTGATACGCAGTGGTGCTCTTAGTAGGAGCAAAATGAGAAAAACATTTTTGTATTGCACACTGATAGCTACTAATTACCTTTGCTGGGGAGAACTCCATTCTTTGTTGAAGAAGTATTTAAATACATAAACTGGCAGAAAATCATGTAAGGTAAAATGATTTCAATTTTATTTCAAACTCCACCATTTCTAATAAAATATCTGACTTTTGTTGCAGCTGTTTTCCACAGTGCATCCACGCCAGTCATCTAGATGAGGAACTCTTTCAGAGGACTACCCAACTCTTCCTGACATTAGTTAGAACAGGAATGGGGTGCACATTGGTTCCCAGTTCAGGAGTGCTCTTTCTTTGCTGTTTGCTGAAGAATATAAATAGTCTAGATCCCTGCTGCAAATGTAGTGGGGGATCAAGATAGCTCAGCCACAAAGCGTTCCTCCTGATGGCAGCATTTTTTTGGAAGGGAAAATTGATCCAAGCTGACAGCTGTGCTGGAATGGCTAGACTGCAGCTAAGTCGTTTAAGGCCAGTTCGGGTATCTCACCCAGCATCACAGCCCAGACACAGCATCCCCTATGCAAGGAAGTCTCACTTCAACTAAACAGTTATTGTGCTATTTTGTTATTGCAGGACACTAAGACAATTTGGTTCAGAAGTTATTAAAAATAATGACAGGCATAAATAAAGGAACATATTCTAAACATGAAGAGGGTCTTTTTGCTCCTGCAGTCCAACAGGACTATAAAATGGCCCTGAAAACAACATCCAAAATCACTTTTTAGATTCCAAAACTTCTACACAAGCTGAGAGGCGAGATAAGATACAGCTACTGGTGGCTCACTCAGAGAGCACAGAGGGACCCTGTCCTGCAATGCAGCAATGCCCACAGAGGAGCTTAGCCAGCTCTTTGGAGGCCAGCTCATCAGGTGGTCACAAGCCAGAAAGTAGGTCATAAACATCTACAGATATTCAAATGTAGCCATCAGCGCCCAGAAGTGGCAGAAACTGAATGCTCACAGGTATTCAGCATTAAGTGAATTGATAGTTTCACTTTACTTTTTGCTGGTAATGGTCTACTTTATAGAAAATACACCTGCATGTGGCACTCTTGTTAGTACTTCCAGCAGTGCAAAAATGGAATGTGTCTGGAGAGTGAGCTGCCCAGGATCACTGTAATAAACCTGTGGCTCAGGAAGTCTGCACAGCCTCTGTCCCTAGCTACCTGTAGTTTGGACAAAGGGGTTAGTATGCTTTGTTATTTTCACCAATTTAATTATCAGAATTGATAAAAATACTTTGGGGTTTTTTTCCACTGCCTTCCTCCAGTATATTTATATCTGCTGTCTGTAGCAATGACTATGCCAGGCCTTTGCTTTACTCCTAGGCCTAAAGAAAGTTTTATGAGGAGAGATAGAAAAATCTGTCATTCATTACCCGAGAGAGGAAATTAATAAGAGGGGACAAATAAGAACATGTAAGATAATGAGAAGTAGTGAAGACTGAGGAAAAACTTCAGTTCTTTGAGGCTGTGTTTTAATTGTCTGTTTTAACTAGGGATATTTCTCTGTCTTCTGACCTAGGTATGGGATGTCCCTGAGGTGGAGACATGCCATCTTTCTCTATCCTCTTTATGTTATCTCCATGGAAAGTGAAGTTTTATATAAAAACCAACAGAGCTGGTAGCATACTCTAGTCATGTTCCTATGCACACCAAAAAGGTGCAGGATCCTGGTGCTTTTTAATTTTTTTATACTTATAAATGCATAGAAAGAGAGAAGCCACCAGCATCAGCTTATCTATTCGCATTTTTTCTCTTGCACCAGATTTTGTCTCAAAAACAAACATGATGGCATGGAATACTTTTATTTTAAAACTGGGCTCATCTGTTTCTCACCATCAGCTGATGAGGGAAGAAGAGGCAGTAGCTACTACATTAATGCTTGTCTGAGCATATGTGCACTTCTGTATAATGTCTAAGCTTAAATAGGAGAGTTGGAAAGCATCTCCATCCAAACGAACTTGTAAGCAAAGACACCTTTCCAGAACCTGAGAAGTGCATCTGCCAGCTTGCTGACACCAAAGAGGGATGTTCAGCCCTGGTAGCCCACATGGCCAAGCAAGCACCCTCACTTCTAGACAGCTTGGTTGTATGAAATAGCAATTAAGTGCTTAATTCTTTGTGAAGGTTTTAAGATGAAGCAGTTTCCTTCTGATCTGACAGATCAGAAATCGGTGGCTAAGCACTGAAGAATGGGGTCATTCTGTGCTGGCTAATTTCTCTCCCTATCTGTTACAAAGCCCATTTTGAGATGAGTTTAGCCCAAAAGGTGCTTTAAAGCTTGGCAATGCAGTAGCCACATATTTTGTGGCTTTAGCTTCTAATCCAAAATCTTCCTTTTTCATTGCCTAAATATGTTTAGTGTGTCTAAAAATCAGGTCACGTACTAACTTCTTATATATGAATATGGCATCTGCAGCCTTTACTAACAACAAGTTTCTATTTTCTTCCGTCTCATTGATAAAGATATTGAATAGCACTGAACTAAGAATAGATCTATGTGGAACCCCATTATATAATGATGCCCTCTGTGCAATTACTTTCTGGCTGTATCAGCCTTTTCACGCCAGTTAAAATTTGCTACACAGATTTTATGTAGTGTCACATTTAACCAGAAGGTCAGAGTATAAGGTAAAATAGCTCAGTTATACTGAGCAACTCCCTTTAGCAACAGAACTTTTCATTTCATCTAAGGATGTAATCAGTTCTGTCACTAGTTTTCCGTGAAAACTCATTCACTGAAATGGATTAGGCTACTGTCTTTGTAACCTTACTGGTTAGATCCCATTCTATTCTGTATCCCAGTATTTTGTCTGGAAGAAATATAAGGTCACTAGATTTTTACTTACTTTGGTAATGTGTAGTCATTTTTGAAAAATTATAATGTGTTAGATGTTTTTCAGATCACTGAAACTTTGAGAGCATTACAGTATTTTTAAAAGATTCTTCCATGAAGAGTAGAAATCATTAAACACATTTTCTTTGGAGCTGTATCTTCTACCCACTCACTGCTGTCATCCCAACTCTCTCCATGTCCTCTAAGTCTTTCCCAATACATGTCATTCCCTCTGTGTTTCTAGCTCTCCTCCATCACATCACCTAGCTCTCCACAAAACTGCTGTGCACTCTTTCCACTGTCTTTGATTTCTGACATAGTTGTCCTTCTCCCCAGCTCCTTTCCATCTCCAGCACAACATGTCCAGTACAACAAAAGCTCCATGTACTCCATGCTCTCTGTATTATTCTTTCCATGTTTCCTACCTCTGTATTTTATGCTGCCAGCTGGGGAAAAGCCAGCACATCTGGCACAGACATGCTGGCTGGCTGGCTAGTACATGTGTTATCACTGAATTAGCTGGCTGCT